TTTTCTCTTAATGTAAAATGTATTCATTAAACAAAATATATTCAAATCCGATTACCGTAATCATAATTGACTGTTATACTTACCAGGAAACCGTTGGCCTAGGAGGCGACTTCTTGAAAAGAACCACGGGTAGAAACTGAAAGGGTCCCGCCTTGGTGAGTGAAACATGCTATGTAGAGCAGGACTTTGTGCCGTTGGACTTAGGCCTGGGTGGTGGTGATGACTTAGTCCAATTGGCTGTGGGATTGCTAATCCATGAGAGTCCGAGTACGTTGGTTCAGAATACAACCCTTTCATAGATTGCAATGTACTGAGAAAAGGTGATTCTGTTGGGCAGTGTTTAAAACGAGGTGCTACAGGCGATGTAAACGGCGATATGCCGTGACTTGACTCCGACGGAACGTCCTTTGATACCAGAGATTCAATACTAAAACAAGTTGGTTTAGGTTGGTAAATTTCGGCCACAGACATTGTGAACTGCGTGCTTAAGTTGTTTAAATATTGCTCTATAAAATATGGCTCTAGAGATTCATCTGGCCGTCAAAGTTCCAGTTTCACGGGAAGTGTTTAGTCACAGATTAAAATGCACAACAGTATATCGTTTACTTGAAAGACGTCTATTTATCGTCGTGTTCTTTTGAAGTAAAACGTCGTAATTTGCACTGGCCTTCCTCCTCAAATAGGAGTGGATGATAGGAATTCGTTAAGAAAACTTTGTTTCGATCAAGCCGGACTTCGATATTTCCAAGTATTACTTATGTGTTAAGTGGTATCGTATGCAGCCTTGCTACAAGATTCTACGAAGGTAAACACCGGCTCATCGTTGCATTGCCACTGACGTTTACTAACGATGACACTTGTTATATAACGCCGACCGTCGCCAACTCTGACTACCCGTTCAGATGTACTTTCGATCTAGATAAGTTGCAAAAAATTGAAATAATAATAAAAAAATATACCAGTTAATTTGCATAGACGAGTTAAATTATCCTGGATATTGCTGTCGTGCACTGTGATCCGAGTAGGAAACGAAACCACTGTTAGCTCCATTGATTTTAAGGCCAAAAGCCATTGGCAGGGAAAATGACGTAGCGTAAGATAAGGACCAATCGCAGTGTCGGAGTTATTACAATAAGTCGACAATTGATGATCATTGGTCATTATAGAATTACTCATTAGTTAACTCTGCTTACGGCCTAGATAGAGTGCCAATCATTTAGGGAGGCTTAACTGACGACACTTGCTTACAAAACTATACAATCCTATACACATAAGTTTCGTTTTGCCGGGGGGTTTCTAGCAGCAGCAATAGGAGCCCAGTAATCTGATAAAAACCCTTGATAACGCTACATTTGCCTGGACATTAATTTACAATACACGTGCACTAATTATTTGAAAAATATTGATTTTTGCAATAATTATGAAACATAGAACATATGCTGCCTATTTACTTTTATTTAAATATTATTGTTGCGTTATAATTTAGGACTATTAGGCCTATTTTCTAATCAGTTATTAGGCTTAATTCTGAATAAGCCATTAGTAAGGCATGTACTAATTACCGGTATTTATTATAAATTTACAGTTCATTACTTTGGAATTCATTATTTTTAACTCGCCAAAATAAACTTTTTATTGGGAGAGAGCTATAATGTTCACTATTACCATACCACCATTACCACTATACTACATCCATTATCATAAAGGGAAGATGCATAAGGTCTGTATCGTATTAAAAATAACGAGAATTTCAGTTCTTGTATGGTACCAATATAGTCCTCCATTGCTAAGCATAAACTAAAACACAGCGGCCAAACCTCCCCCAAGAAGCGGCGCCTCCATTTTCGTGTTCGTCATCTATTCCAATTTCTCATACGGTCAAGTTTTATTTTCTTGTGGTCACGGAAGGCGCATTAATGAAACACTTAAATATATGCCTAAAAACATATTTCTAAACAGAGCTATAAGGCCTAATGAAACATTTTAATTTAGACCTATTTACACAACAGAGAAAATTTTTCAGAAATCTTAGATTAGGCCTACAACCGTACCGTACTCTAATAGGCCTAAGTGACACAGTCATTATCCATCATTAATAAATGGTTTGAAAAAAATGAAGAATCATCTTTCGTTTGAAAGTAGTGTCTTTAAAAAACACAAAAGGTGAAAATATAATCAACTTGTAGGCATTATTTACAGATACCGGTAGGTACTGAACTATATTTGTTATTGCGTTATGTACAATAAAGTGTTTCAACATAACTTTCTATGCCAGTGAAAGCATAGCAGATCATACTTATATTCACGCATATAACGCCTTTGTAAGATATTAATGCGTGTTCCATGATAAAAGAGAATTGAGGAGGATAAATTCGTCTAAGAACACATAAAGTGTCAGCTACAAACACTCGATATTTTGACCTCACCGGTAATTACTTTAATTGGTTGTTTTTGCGTTCTGAATACAATACACGTCTTTCAAATCTATTCATTTATTTTATTCTAGTTTTATATAGGCCTAGGTCTAAGCCTACAAATTGAAAAGATCTTATTTTCTGCTACAATTTTACGAATTTCTGTGGCAGTACATTGAACCAAATGAATTTCAGTTTTTGTATTGAACGATCGTTTGTTTTCAGTTGTTAAATGTCAAGATGAGTTTACTATGGCCAACTTTCTAGTTATTTATTTACAAGTAACATTTAAACATTTATAGAGAGGAGCGTAGGAGACGTCACCACCGTTACAATAACATTTCTTTTAATTTACGCTTAGCTAATCAATTCGTTGGCTAATTGATACACAGCAGCTAAGTGTCGTTGAAGATAATAAGCATAATGAGTGTAAAGTTTTGTCTATAATAATATTAATTATTTTGGTGAAGATAATAATGACTCAATAATACTAACAATAATACTAGGCCTAATACTACTACTACTAATAATAATAACAACAACAACATTAATAATAATAATAATAATAATAATAATAATAATAATAATAATAACAATGATAATATAATATCGAATTAGTAATAATAATAATGAAAATGTTAAAGATGATGAGAATAATACATACATTTATAATCAAAGATGTTTTTAAAAGTATAGATTACAGTATTTACTACTTTTTATTTATTAAATTCGTTAAATTCTTTCGTAATTTGGTTTGTATATCTTCTCATATTATCACTATCATTAAGCACGTTGGACGTCTTCCGACATAACACTTTCCACTATTCCGAGGCATCTCTTTCTGTCATTTGGCAGGATGGTTCGTAGTACTGTCTACATACTTTTAAAGTTTTTTTTTCTTATAGCTTAAAGTATAAATATAAATATAAATATATATATATATAAAATCCTATAAACCTATATATAATATATAATATATATATATATATATGTATATGTATATATAGGCCATGTATATGTATATATATGTGTATATGTATACATGTATATAGACCTATATATGTATATATAGGTCTATATATATATATATAGGCGATATTAACCACCCCAAGATGAGATAGATGGAATGACAGAAGTCTAAGATAGACGGCCTAATATCATTTTATTGTCAATTATCATGGTAATATTGAACTAATTTTTCACGCACATGAAATTTTATTTCACAATTCAACCATAAAACAGCAATCTACAATTCATAATTCAGCTTCTTAACCGTCACCGAACTATTCATTTGTTTATGTTTGTTCTGAATTATTAAAACTTCAAACTCATCACTTCAAACTCTTTTCCGTAATGCGCCAGGCCTTCGCACTCTCGTCAGGCCTAACTGTTCAGGACTGAGTTAACTTGTCTTTGAATACCGGCTTGGTACCAAACTTCACGGATAGAACATAACCTATGAATGGAGTGGCTTTATGACGCCTAAATATATGACTTGTAATTATCATTATTGTTACCACTCTTTTGTGTAGAAAATATTTAGGGAAATGTTTATTGTTGTGTTTTATAACGATCATTGGCGTCAAAATTGAAGGTCGATCAATAGACATATGTGCATTATTCATTGAGCATGTCTAAATCAGTATTTAAGATCAACTGCAGATTGTTTGCGTGTCCAGTAACATATGTTTTCTATATCTACGCTCAAATCCATTTAGTCTTAAGTGTACTTGTTATCGAAAAACAATATTCTTTTATCCATAATTAATAATAATGATAACGATAATGCAATCGCCCTATATTTATGCTGCACGCGATGTCTTGAATATTATCTGCTTTGTATTTTATTGAGGTGTAATTAGACCTATATTATACGTTTGCGACTTAGTGATATAAATTGTCAACAGTTTAACTTTTATTTTGCCTATATTTACGTCTTAATGTTTATAGCTTCAAATAATTTAAATAATAGCAAATTCGTCTAATCAGGGAGTCGTTGATATAATAATGGCCAATGATGGCGAATCGAAGCTGAGTGTTTATGCTGGGCACTGCAACGTGCAGCCATAATGTCGGCGCTGGTTCGAACGTCCTGCTCGCCTATCGTTCTGGTGGTGGAATAAGTCTTCTCGGATAAGTACCGTACTATTAAACCGTAGGCCCAGTGTACACGATTTGGCTCATACAAATACATCTTTGGAGACGAGTTTACTGGTCCATGCAGCCCCTGTTGTGGGCAGACGAGAGTAACTGGTACCGGTTTGCCGGGTAGCTCAGACACGAATAGACACTTGAAGAAACAAGTTACTGTATGAGCTGTTCCACACCGAGCGCTTTGAGACACTTCGGTATAAAGCGCTATATAAATCCAACATTACATTACTGTAATGCACCGTACGGTAACAATGTTACATTTGAATTACACGTGTATGCGACCAACATCGTCATCTCCCTAATCTCTTCTTCATTTTCGTTTGTTAATCTGTGATTTTGCCCATATATAAATATGATATCCGGTCATTATGCCCATGGAAGTATGATATACCGTCATTAGGCTTATGGACAAATTACCAATCAGTTTGTTACACATAAATTAATAGTGTCAACAGAGCTTCATTTACCTTTACCCGGGATTACACTATCCACAAAAAATGGAGAAATCATACTAGCATACGTTTGGCTATCATCAGACAATGTTAGATCAAACAATATCTGATAGTGTTGGCATTCCCGGTTTTAGACATAGGACTAAATTACCACAATGCTTTTGAAAGGCTAATGGTATGTGTGTTGTATTTAGTAATAGGCCTAGGCCTACATGAACAATGCAATTTATTATCTATTTAATATAATAATTTGAAAATATATTTTATACCTTTTATTATAAGTTAAAAACACTTTAAATTTATCGAATAAACATGATCAAATGTAATTTGTAATTGGTTTCAAACTTCCACGTAAACACAGGTCTAGGCTTGCTGTACAAGTAACGCAAACAAATGCCATCAAAGTCATAAAACTAATCTGGACAACTATTAAAGATCAGAGTTACTAATAATTATTGATGCTGTAATCTAGCTCACTTAATTGCTGTTTTAATTGATTTGTTGCAATTGTTTTGTTCTTCGATTACGGAAAAGGTAGCCAATTAGTTTGCACCATAACGGTTGGGTCATTTTCCCACCTTCCAACCAGTGATAATCTTCAAACTCATGTTTTATAACCGCACATAAGGTGCCTGAAATTACTGCAATTAATTTTCCTTAATAACTAGCAAGCATCTTGTGTATATCCTCTATCACTCAATGTGTGAAATATTACACGAAGGGCGATGCTATTTGAGTCAGGACCCGGATAGTACGCTAGTTAGTTTAGATCTTTAATGCATTGATTGATAACTTTTTCGATTTGAATTAAGCTACAACACATCGTATCCTAAAAGTACTATTAAGATCATCAACGCCGGCGTTTCGCTAATCGTTTGCTTATAAACAATTTAATAGAACTCCACTTTATACTTAACACCGTTGGGAATTGAATCTCCACTAAAGCCTCGTAAAACAACTGGAATTTCGTTAAAATTCTAGTGTTAAATTCGACATCCACTGGACGACGCGAAGAATC